CTTCAGAGACACCTTTACAAGTGCCAACATGTCTGCAATAATTGACTGTGGTAGGTCATGAAGAGAAGTTCAAGAAACTCCAAAAAGTAGAAATAATATTATCTATTCTTTGATTACAATGCAATAATATTAGACATGAGATAAAAGCAAAATGTTTAACCATTAGAAAATTTTAAGTTATCTCCTAAAACTCTCATGGGTGCCCAGGGTCTGGTGGTACACTTGAGGCAGAAGCCCCCCCACCCAAAAATCTCTGTTGAGACGAGATGTAGAAAGCTTTAAAAAAAAAAAAAAAAAAAAAAAAGCTGCTTCTACTCCAACCATGAGAAAAGGCCAAATATTGTAATCTACAAAATTATGACTTCTGAGTTTATAGGAGAGCTGAGTTTTTGAGGCAATCGAAGGGTAATAAGCCCCTCTGAGAAGATAAAATATATGAACTGTTTTATCTTTGAAAATACACAGGAGAAAGAGGTGGTCACCACAAAAACAAGTAGGAATAAATCAGCCAAAACGTCAATGAAATGTTAAAAGGCGAGTATGAACTAGGGGGTCACTTTGGAACAGTTAGGAGCACCAGAAATAAGCAGAGCTTGCACTGACTCAAAAGCTTTCACGTGAGCTTCCTTCCACAAGGTGCTCAGAAAGATGGGGATCAGGCAGGAGGCCATAGGGAGCCCCTTTGGTGGCAAAGCCATGCAGGAGGCCACCAGCTGCTGCTGGAGCCAGGTCCAGAGCCCCTCCATCTCCCCCTAGTCTCTTCTCTCCTAGTTTCTGGCTCTTGGGGCCACTGGCTGCCTGAGGAAAAAGGTTGTTAGTAAACTGTCTACTGAATGAACTAATATATGCAAACTGTTCTCTTAATAGTTGTCAAAATAATATATAATCAAAGCAGTTCAAAACTAATTGTGACACTGGGCATGGTAGCGCATGCCTGCAGTCCCAGCTACTTGGGAGGCTGAAGCAGGGGGTTGAGGCTGTAGTGACCTATGATCACCACATTGCACTCTAGTCTGGGTGACACAATGAGACCTTGTATCTTAAACAAACAAACAACTAAATTGTGGTAAAACACAAAACTCATGTACAATTAAGTAACAAGCACGTCAAAAATATTTTGCCTTCTTTCTTTTGTAATTTTCCTTTTTTGTAAGAGATGTGGTCTAGCTACGTTGCCCAGACTGACCTTGAACTTCAGAGCTCCAGCGATCCTCCCACCTTCCCAGTAGCTGGGACTATAGGCATGTACCATCATGCCCAGCTTAGCCTTATTTCTATTAATAATTAAAGAAATAAAGTTTAAGGATTTATACCTGCCCATGTTACCCACCATGAACACTTTTGCAAAAACTTTTTGTTACAAAAACAATATATGCTCACAATAAAAAAAAATACAGATCAAAAATAAAGTATAATACATCACTGACCAGGTGTGGTGGCTCACAACTGTAATCACAGCACTTTGGGAGGTCAAAGTGGGAAGATCCCTTGAGCTCAGGAGTTTAAGACCAGCCTGGGTGACACAGTGAAACCCCATTTCTACTAAAAATAAAAAATGAAAAAACTCCAACGAAACAAAACAAAAAGAATATCACCTACCAAAGACCAACCATAGTTAATCTTAGCACATAAACAGATAAACATAGAGAACCTCAAATTTGTGTGATATTTTATATTCATAATTTAATTTTAAAATGGTTTATATGACGTACATTGTGTATTTCTCCGATTTGTCAATATTCCAAAACCATCTCCCTGTCAGCAGATACATTTCTAAAATGGTTTTTAAAGGAGGCATAGTATTTTATTGCATAAATGTACCATAATTTCTTTCTTTTTAACATCAAAGTTTTAGTAACCAATTTCCCACTGAAGGACATTATGACTACTTCTAAATTTTTAACGAATATTTAGGCTAATGAAGGGGAGGGAAATGTCACAGTTACTCCAAAATTTAAATCTTAGTGGTTGAGAAAATTAATTATATAATGGAAATCTTTGACTACTACGCTTGATAGTCACCAGAGCAAGCACAGCTGCAGTCTGAAAGGCTTTTAAGCCAGAAAAAAAGAAAAAAAAAAACGAAAAGAAGTGAACACATTTATAAAGCTTTCCGAACTGTCTATCACAAATGACCATGGCTTATAGCAGACCTAGCTTCTGGATTGATGATTTGAATCTAGTCATTCATTTTACTTAAGAGATAGACAGGAAAAAAGTATCTGTCATAAGATCAATAAGCCCAGAGTGAAAAACAGGTTTCCTCAAACATTGAAAACAGCACCATACAGTTTTTGTTTTTGTTTTTGAATTTGAAGAAAATGTAGGTAAAAGTCTTTAGCATAAAGGGACAGGAAAGATCTTTCTAAGCACATCACAACAATGTGAACACATAAAAAGTACCTCAGTAACTTCAGCCTAATAGGTTGAAATAAATGAAGAAAAAGAAAAATGTTTGTAACATGTAACAGTTAAACAAGGTCAGGTACAGTGGCTCATGCCTGTAATCCAGCACTTTGGGAGGCCGAGGCTGGCGAATCACAAGGTCAGGAGTTCGAGATTAGCCTTGCCAACATGCTGAAACCCAGTCTCTACTAAAAATACAAAAATTTAGCTGGGCATAATGGCGGGTGCCTGTAATCCCAGCTATTCGGGTGGCTGGGGCAGGAGAATCGACTGAACCCGGAAGGCGTAAGTTGCAATGAGCCAAGATCGCGCCACTGCATTCCAGCCTGGGCAAATTCTGTCTCAAAAACAAAACAAAACAAAAAACCAACCCCCTCAAAACAGTTAAACAATACTTTTTTAATACACAAAGAGTTATTAAACCAGCCAGTGAAAAAAATCAAACTACTCTCTAAGAGATGAATGGGCAGAAGGCATGAAAAAGCAATCCACGAAACAAATGCCCAATAAACACGAAAACTGCTGAACCTCAGAGAAATCAAAAAGAGTGACAAAGTCCTGTCTTGGTGATGCTACTCATTCGAGGAAGATAATCTGAATTGATATCGCCCTTCAGAGTGCAATTTGCAAGGATCAAAATAAAGTATACATAACCTTTGACTCATTAATCTCACTTCTAGGAATTTAGCTTAAGAAGATAATTATACATAATATATATAATTGTACTAGACACTGTAGTACCGCTTATAACATAATTAAAACAAACTGTGAATGGAGACTCTGTGGAATAAATTATGGTACATATGTGCATACAACAGAATACTGTGTAGCCACTAACAAATGGTGAGTACTCAGTAGATCTACATTTGTTAGTGGTGAAAACCATCCATGAGACTGCATGCAGACTTTCCAAAAGGAAGAGACTGGAGAACAGAACAGAGGGTGTCACCTCATCAATAGTTACACAGATTGCTAAACAGCGATGACCTGAAGGATGGCCACCAAACGCTGACGGTGAATTCTGGTGATTTTTATATATGTCATGGTATTTTTCTGGATTACAAAACACAACAATAAAGGTGTCATTTTAATAAAAATGTTAAGAAGCATTTAACTGATGAGGGGAAAAGCAGTTACATTATGACAGACGCAACTATTCCCAAAGAGATGAATTTTATCTAAATCTAGTTTGGCTATGAAGGCCAGCTGGCTGTTTTATGTCTGCTTTATTGTTTGAGTGTTACTTTTTAACTGTGGTATAACAAAGAATTTTTCTGGCAATCTTGGGTTCCTGGTAGAAGCTTTAAAACCTTTGTTCTGTTAATGAGGCAATTCAGATTGCACTCTTGGGAGTCAGGGAAGGGCAGGAGATCGAGCTCAATCATGTGGCCAATGATTTAATCCACCATGCCTACAGAATGAGACTTCAATGAAATCTTTGGTCACCAAAGGTCAGTGCAGCCTCCTGGCTGGTGCACACACCAGGGATGTTCCGGGAGAGTGGGGTGCCCTGACACTAATAGGAAGGGTCATGGAAGCTCTGCTTTCTCTTCCAGTCTTCGCTTTATATGTCTAGTTTATAATAAAACTGCAATGATAAGGACAGGACTTTTTTTCTGCATTCCGATTGATCGCTGAACCTGAGGTGGGGACATGGGAACCTCTTGGATTGGTAACCAGCAGGATAGAAATGTGGGTGGCCTGGGGATCCCCTGAACCTTGTGAATGTAGTCTGAAGAGGGGGCAGTCTTGTAGACTTTGTCCTTAATAGGCAAGATCTGTAATTACTCCAGGGAGTCAATGCCAGATTTGCAATGCAGTACACCCAGTTGGCGTCAGACCAGTTGGAATGAAATGGAAAAGTAACCATCCTAAGTAATGATATAGTATTATTTTTTATAACTGATACTTTGAAAAGAAAATGTCAATGTAGTAAATGGCCAATAGCTTTGTTGATCAAGTTTGTGAACTTTCTACCACAAACAATAAGAAATGCTTCAGCCTCTTGGGCATCCAGATGCCTCCAATCTGCACCGTTCATGTAGCTCTCCCAGGCTGTGCTCCCCGAGTCCCATGGGCCTCCGCTATAGCACTCATTCCTGTGTACTGCATCGGTCTATGCCTCTCTCTCATACGCTGGACTGTGAATTCCAGAGGAGGCATCGCATCTTCCCCATCTTTGTATTCTCAGAGCCTACCACTGTGCCTACAGAGTAGCAAAGGTGCTATTAATTTTGGTGGATAAATGAGTCAATGAAATAACTCTCCATAAAAATAACTCCGGTGAAGGAAAGTGCCTGAGTGCAAGCTCAGGTTTAAAACTTCAGTCTTTATGTGCTCTTCCCTCCCTGCCAACCTTTCAATATTCAACTAAATACTGTGTCTGGGAGATCAAAGTGATAAGTAACCTCTGAGAGAAATGGTAAATGAAAACAAGAATTCCTTTAAACATAATAGGAAAAAAGAAAATAGTGTTAAATATTCCTTTTCCTTTTCTCTTAGGTTTCTGTGGTCTCTTATGATAGAACATCTGGCTTGAAGAACAGTTTTTTTCATGGTCAGAGTGCTTTTATCCTTCTCTGCAACTTACTCACCTTTTAACCTGGCATCACCTCCAAAGGCACCACAGCCCCAGTTTCCTGTGGCCACTGCAGAAAGATTCTCTGAAGAAACTCCAGGTCGAAGAAATCCACAGTAAGCCTGCAGGATAAAAGAAATATCAAAGCCTGTGAGTACCTAGACACTAACAGTGTTTCTGACTGATGCTCTAGGATTAGTATCCATTATCAAGCTTATGTTCAATTTCTCATTTTTTTTCCTTAAGGGACAAAGTAGAGGGAAAAACAAAGAGCTCAATCATGTCGCCAATGATTTAATCAATCATGCTACAGCATGAGACTTCAATGAAGTCTTTGGTCACCAAAGGTTTTTTTCATAAAAATAAACCATGAAACTGAAATTAAACCTCATTCAGTGTTTAGATCAATAATCATGCAAAGGAAGAGACTAAGAAATAATAAATTCTATTATTTATGTATTTGGATGCTACGCAAATAAAATCCCTCAAACCAATACAGGTCCCAATTTCTTTTTCCAATTCAAACAAACAGAAATGGAAGTAGCAGAGCTATTTCAAGAACTAATATATAAACTTATAAACTATAATCCTAGTGACAAACTACTAGGAAAAACCACCAGGAAAGGCACTTGTTAGAACAGTTTTCTATTTCTTTAAGGCTTTAATCACTAGTTTTTTCCTCAGGCAAAGGGTCACTATTAATGCCGTCTCAGCATCATCTCTCTGAGTTATGGCGACTAGATTAATAAATGTGCTTCCTGCTACTGAAATGCTTAATAAAGAGCAAGCAACTATCTATAGAAGGGATTCCTATACTTGGTTATGAAATAACCCTTAAGATGCCTTTCAGCTCTGTGATTCTCTGGTTTCTTTCTCTGTTTTAAGCTAGAATATTTAAAATTTTGCCAGTAATCTGAGAAAAATACAATATATTCTGAGGATGCTGGCTAAGTATTAATTAAGTAAACAGCTCATTTTCTTTTTTTTCTTTTTTCTTTTTTTTGAGACGGAGTTTCGCTCTTGTTACCCAGGCTGGAGTGCAATGGCGTGATCTCGGCTCACCGCAACCTCCGCCTCCTGGGTTCAGGCAATTCTCCTGCCTCAGCCTCCTGAGTAGCTGGGATTACAGGCACGCACCACCATGCCCAGCTACTTTTTTTGTATTTTTAGTAGAGACGGGGTTTCACCATGTTGACCAGGATGGTCTCGATCTCTTGACCTCATGATCCACCCACCTCGGCCTCCCAAAGTGCTGGGATTCCAGGCTTGAGCCACTGCGCCCCGCCTTAACAGCTCATTTTCTATATGAGAAGACCATTGTGTAAGATCCCAGAGTTCCTAATTTCCACTTCTTTGTGTCAGCTACTTGATCTTCCTGCCTTCTTTCTACATTCTTAGTTTTCTGAAGTGATCTGACTGTAACAGGTTTAATGTAACTGCAAAGCAAGACTCTCCTGCATTCTCAAGTTCCAAACAAAGCCTAAAATATAGCTTACACATAATAGCAAATACAGTTAAAAGAATGATCTTGACAAATGTTCTCAGAGAAAAACAAAGGATAAAGAAAGATGCTTCTATGAAACCCACACATAGAAATACAGTAAATTGTTCTCTGAAGTTTCCACAAAGGTATAAAAATTTATTTTACACAGTGTCTGGAAGGATTAACAAGGCTATTCCTTCCATACCCTCCTAGACTGTAAATCTTGACAGATATTAATTATAAGTTGGCACCAGATCATTATTCAACACTGTGGTATGGAGCTTACACAAGCAGTCACAAATTACCTGCATAGTCAGATGCATGGAGCTTCTGAAAATCTCTTCTAGGTCAAAAAAATCTGAGAGCTCCATTTTTTTTTAATAGGCTTTTGAAAGATAGTCTGTGTCATTAAACGAACAAGGTAGAGAACAAACCCTCTGGAAGAATAAATGTAACTGCAGCTTTGTCTCCTGTCAGATTTTTCTAACAGGCCTAGAGAGAAGGAGGTTTCCTCAGACTCCTAGTTCATGTCTCTGTTTTATACTATCAGAATGGTCTTAGTTTCTTTCTTACTGCTGTCTCTAAATAACTGAGTTAACTGTACTTCAATGTGCAAAAATAGCTTAGTGAAACTAAGGCCTAACAATTGAGAATTTGAAACATTTAAATTATTAGACACAAAATCTACTATATATTATCCAATTTTCATGGAAAATTATCAATCTTGAAAAATGGACATTAAAAACAAACAATGAAACTGAAATTAAAACTCATTCAGTGTTTAGATCAAATCTTTAAAAGCTCATGGCTGTGACCCCAGCACTTTGGGAGGCTGAAGTGGGAGAATCACTTGAGCTCTGGAGTTTGAGACTAGCCTGGGCAATATGACTAGAACTTTGTCTTTACAAAACAAAAAAATTAGCCAGGTGTAGTGGCGCATGTCTGTGGTCTCAGCTACTTGGGAGGCTGAAGTGGGAGAACTGCTTGAGCCCAAGAGGTCTACGCTGCAGTAAGCCATGATCGTGCCTCTGTACTCCAGCCTGGGTGATAGTGAGATTCTATCCCCCCACCCCTGCCATGAAAAAATGTTAAATAGACAGAAATTAAATGATAAAATTACACAGAATTTAGAATAACTGGTTACAATGATTAAATACAAAATTATTTTATTCTGTTAAGAACCAAGCATTTGTAAGGTCAGAAGTAAGACAGCAGTAGTATGCTGCCCTGAGCCCTCTTTGGAAAGTCAGCCCAGGCTTCTCCATTCTCTAGGAAGAAGGATGCATGAAGTGCTGGATACCAGGGCAGAGCCTTGAATCAGGGGACCTTTCCTTGTATGGGTAGGAATTGAACTCCTATGGTAAAGAAACAAAGATCAGATAAGGATAGAGACATCAAAAGAGTTGCCAAGTTCTCACTCCACACAAAAAGGAACTAGGAGTTCTCAAGAGCTCTATATTGGCAAATGTACCCAGAAAAAGAGTACTTGAAAAGACTGATCAGAGCTGCAAGAGTTAAAGAAAGCCAGTTTGAACTCTGGCCATACCCAGACCTGATATTCTGCAATGACAGAGCAATTTATTTTTACTAATAAACAACTCAGAAGTGGGAAAAGAAAAAGGAAGCACTGAGACTCCAGGATAGTAAATAGAAGACACCAATGAACGACAGTATCTTGGAATGAGTTTTGATGGGAAGGGAAGAAGACAGAAAACATAAGGCTAATTCGGGAGTCCTGAAGGTTGCAAAGGGATGTGCTGAGAAGCAAGATGAAAACATTAGTACCTAGAGTTAAAAACTAGAGACCAACCAGGAAATGGTTATGATAGAGATGTAGAAAAGAAGTAAAGAAAATGGAAAAGAGACCAAAACAAAACTGGTGTAAGAGTCTACAGGCCCAAAATGAGGCCCAGGAAAGAGATGGTATCCAGGATAATAGTCTGGCACAAATATGCACCCACACACTTTAGTAAGATCTTTGGCTTCAATATCCATTTTAGCAGGACCAAGCAGATAGACAGTTGTGTGCTGCATACTGATGTTGCAGTCAACAACAAAGCACAAACACAATGATGGTCCCATAAGATTATAATACCATATTTTTGTAGTACCTGTCCTACGTTTAAGACACAAATGCTTACCACTGCATCACAACTGCCTATAGTATTCAGTACAGTAACATACGATACTGGTTTGCAGTCTAGGAGCAATAGGCCACACGATCTAACCTAGGTGGGTAGTAGGCTATATGCTCTGTGACATGTGCAAAGTGACTACTTCTCAGAACATATCTCCATCTTTAAGTGATGCATGATTTTACTTAAATGATGTTTTTCATTATTATGTAAATACATTATTCTATTTGCTAAAATAATAATTTAATAATTATTGTTCCTAAAGAGTTGCTCAGTTATATAAAGTCAATCTACTATGCTTAACTTAATACACAGTGGATATTGATACTGATTTCCTGAGGTTTTTAGTGTTCTGTGATTTCTTATGATTTTTTTTTTTTTTTTTTTGAGACAAGTCTTGCTTTGTTGCCCAGGCTGGAGTGCAGTGGTGCGATTCCAGCTCACTGCAACCTCTACCTCCCAGGTTTCAAGCAATTCTCCTGCCTCAGCCTCCCAAGTAGCTAGGATTACACTTTATCTTTAAAACAATTATAACATTCATATATTGTTTTTGCTATTTTAAAATGCAATATAAAAAAGTATGCAGATCTTAGTTTCCTCATACGTAAAATCCAAGACTGGGTTACATATTTAATGGTTATTATGATTCTATATATTGGGAAACTTAAGGGAAAACTCACTACAAATGATACATTTTGAATATTCTTGAAAAGTAAAATGACACATATTTTATGAAAAGATTCTAAGTGCTCAGATGCTGAACTTCTACAAATACCAGCAGCAAATATTGATGGGTTTGTTATCAAGCTTTGGTTTAATAACAGTCCTATTCCAAATATGGTGGTGGATAATAACAAAAACATCAATAAACAGATCATTTTTTAAAAAATGGCAAATAGGGATGATTTCCATCTCTTCACTTTGTTCAATTCAGATCCAGAAAGTTCCAAAAAACGTATTCATTAGTTAATCCTACCTAAAATCCTACCTAACATGGCAAATACAACTTTTCACAGGTGATTTCTTTCTTCCCTTGCAGAACTATTTGCCACTTTTACAAGCTGAAGTCATAAATCTTTCTAACCCTAAGATAATTATCCTTTAGAATGTCTTCTGGCTGATCTCTCACAGGATTAAACATTGCTTCACAGTTTCAGTTAGATAAAAGGACACTGGTTTTCTCCTTCAAAAACCAACTCTACTTGCAGGTCACAATGTGAGTCCAATAAGACCACTGGAGCCTGGATGGACCAGACCTTTCCAGAGTCCTGGAAAGCCCTTCTTAGGATTGGTGTTTCAATTATTAACTGGTGAGTAATGCTTTAAAGTAGCAAACAAGTCCCCAGAGGTCAGAGATCCATACTGAATTCTGACGGTGAAAACTGGTCTTAGCTTTGTTGTTTTATTTAGAAAAATGTGAGTTTTTTTTTCTTTTCCTCCTCTTTGGCATGCATACACACACACACACACACACACACACACACACGTAGAATTGTGCAAGTTATATCTAAAGTGATTTAACATAGACTTCTGCTCTAAAACAAAGTTTACAAAACATGAGATATAAAACATTGGGCCAGGTGTGGTGGCTCATGCCTATAATCCCAGCACTTTGGGAGGCCGAGGTGGGCAGATCACAAGGTCAAAAGGTCAACACAATACTGGCCAACATAGTGAAACCCTGTCTCTACTAAAAATACAAAAATTAGCTGGGCGCGATGATGTGCACCTGTAGTCCCCGTTACTTGGGAGGCTGAGGCAGGAGAATCGCTTTAACCTGGGAGAGGGAGGTTGCAGTGAGCTGAGATTGTTTCACTGTACTCCAGCCTGGTGACAGAGCGAGACTCCGTCTTAAAAAAAAGATTTGAAGTCAGGGGAACCTGGATTTGAGCACTGGTTTGGTCACTGCCCAGCTATGTGACGTGGCCTGGGACAAATTACTCAACTTCCTAAGACTCAGTTCACTGTCTCTAAATTAGAGACAAGAAAAATAAATTGGACACTGCATTTAAAGCATTAAGTAGAATGCCTCATTCAGAGTAAGCAATCATTTGATGGCAAGAATTACTTTTACTATTGTTATCTGTATAATTTGAAAAAAATGCCACCTGCATTTAACTGAAAATAATCTTTTATGAGTTATAAATTAGACTTTATTACCTATTGACACGAATAATGGTAGGCTGAAAATAAATTCAGAATGGCATCACTATACATTAAAAATTAACCCATCTGCTTCATATGGCTTCACCTGTCCCAAATTTGATTTGACATTGAAATTACTAGGCTTTATTCAGCACTTGAAGAATATTTAGGAAATGTCTAACAATTTGTGACATATTGAGTGATTTAAGATAATGTACTTATGTAACTTCTAAAATATTTATCTCAAAAACCTATATTAACATTGTCTAAGAAGTTATTTAATCATTAATCAAGTCATTTCACAAAATATCTTTGAGACTTCTATAAGGCAGTGTGACCAACCCCCGTCAACTCCCAATGAAATACAACTCCTGTCGCCAGATTTCTTAAAGACTCATTCTTTGTACAAAATGCACCTCATAAGGATCTATATTATAAAAATAAACGGTCTTCCATGTTGCCAATACTTACAACTAACCTAACCTATTCACATATATCTTTAAAATTTCTGGTGTCTTTGAGGACAGGCAAATTGAGGGTTGGTGATATACAAATAAGTGCAGAGAGAATCAACTGAACATGCGCAATTTAAAAAAAGATTTATTTATGCCCAAAGTCACCTTCTTAAAAAGATCATAATTGAAGATAACTTCTAAAAGTGAGTGATCTAGTTCTCACAGGAAAGAATATGTGGGAGTAGGATTTATTCATAAAAAAGGGAACCTTTCAGTTTGTATTAATGTATAACTGTGGCTAAACACATTTTGGTTCTACTTTCCTTTTCATATCTTTCTCTTCAAATTACCCACTGCTTATATAAATGTCCCCTTGACCATGTGACAAATTCACATACACATGTTTAGGTAGGTAACACCTGTTGAAAATTTAAAGATAAATCTTACTTTACTCGATATACTCTATCATAAAAAGATCTGACATTGGGGATGACTGCTCTAAGGCAAGAGTCTGTAACAGTGAAAATAGGCTTACATTGAAAATGTATCCAGTTCTTAGTAAAAGTTACTCTTCAGGCAGGGCATGGTGGCTCATGCCTATAATCCCAGCACTGTGGGAGGCCGAGGCAGGGCAGATTGCTTGAGTCCAGGAGTTTGAGATTGGGCTGGGCAATATAGTGAAACCAGGTCTCTCCAAAAAAGAAAAACTGGCCGGGTGTGGTGGTGAGTGCCTGTACTCCCAGCTATTCAGGAGGCTGAGATGGAAAGATCACATGAACCCAGAGAGTTTGAAAGCCTGCAGCGAGCTGTGATTGCACATGCCACTGCACTCCTGCCTGGGCAACAAGGACCCTGTCTCCTCACCCCCCAAAAAAAAGATACTCTTCAGAATCAGGTAGGAGAGAATTTTTTTTTTTTTTGAGATGGAGTTTCACTCTTGTTACCCAGGCTGGAGTGCAACGGCGCAATCTCGGCTCACTGTAACCTCCACCTCCTGGGTTCAGGCAATTCTCCTGCCTCAGCCTCCTGAGTAGCTGGGATTACAGGCACGTGCCACCATGCCCAGCCGATTTTTTTATATTTTTAGTAGAGACGGGGTTTCACCATGTTGACCAGGATGGTCTCGATCTCTTGACCTCGTGATCCACCTGCCTCGGCCTCCCAAAGTGCTGGGATTACACGCTTGAGCCACTGCACCCGGCGAATTTTTTTTTAGAATTACTGATACACCAAAGGCCAGTCATTCTGGATAGTTTTTCTGAGAAAGTACATTTTACTTTTATTTTTAAAAAATGATGCTTGTTACTTAAGTTCAACTTTAAAATCCAGTGCATTATTCTTCAAACATTTTATAAAATTTGAGAACTCTAAACATTAAAATAATTTAACAAATTACACATACGAGAACATGTTCAACAATAAGATTCTTCCAAATGGATCAGTATATAAGATACCTAATTATGTTCAAAATATCTACTAAGTTGTAAGTGTAGTAAAAGTCTGTCTAGATCACTGCTGTTATTCTCAGAAGTCTGTGTAGGAACTGGCACACCATGTGTAGCCATGTAAAAACCACAAGCCTCATTATCCTAATAATCTCATAACTAAATCCTACTCATGGGAGTGAAACAATGATTTTCAGAATTGGGTCAGTCTCCTTGGCTATATGAATAAGAAAATCTTTGCCAAGTGAGTAATATGAGGAACTAAAGAAAATCTCTGCTGTTTTGGGAAGTCCCAAAATCTAGAAAATATAATCAGCACTCTATTGTGTAACAGAGTTTATTTATTATGGCTGCCAAAACTAAAGATCTGAACAACAGATATGGTTTATTTTTATATTTCTGTAATACAAAAAAAAAAAAATGAACATAGTATGCAGCACTAAGTATTGCACAAAATAATAGATCCCATCATAAATCTTACCTAAAATAGAATAACATTTGACTTGGCTTTTTCAGTTTTTCTGTTTTAACTCTGATAGCATACTTTGTAGAGGAAATGTCATTGGGCAGGTCTGAGAAAAAATTTTCAGAGCTCATTCATTTCTACATGGTTTTACAATGATAATGTTCCATAGCAGCTAAGGTACTTGATGAGATAAATACATGTGTGGGGTTTAAAACCAAGCAACAGCCTATCTGGCAACCTTAGCTGTTAATCAAACAATTACAAAATGGAAAGTACATCTTGTACAAGCTGACAGAGCCATTAAATCAGGAGAGCTGTGGGCAGACATACTGACACTGCAAGAATTACCAGAAAGCATTAATTTCAGCATTAATAAAATGGCAGTAAATAGATGACAGCTGCCAGATGAACTAAGAAATAAGGTTACTGGCCTTGTTAAGCTCGCGTCTCATTTTCTCAGGCACAAACTGATCGAGGTAGCGTCTGAAGTGAAGAGCATCAATGGCAACGATCTCAGTGCAGCGCCGCTGCCAGTCGTCCCTGGGACAGGATGAAAAGAGGAGAAAGATAAGGAACAGGAGCGATTTTATATAGCTCAAATAAAATCCTCTCAGGGGTCAGGTTGCCAAGAGTTTAGCTGTGTTAAAATATTAAAAACAAACAAACCAGTGTCTTCAGGTCTCAGCAAAACAGCAGGGAAGGAAACACCCTTTATTTCTGGATTGAGGCATATACAGTGTGCAGTATCAGCCATTAAAAAGTAAAATGAAAAATTACCCAGAGACAACACAATGACACCATGTAAGCAGGTACATCATTTATAGTAAGTCTCAGAAGTCTTTTAAAGGATCTGGGGGTAACCAAAAGGAATTTAGTTCTTTGTTTTCCTCTAAAGACATGGTATTTGCATCTTGACAAAAGCTCATTCCTCCTTTGCTTTGAGAGATCTGTTCTAAGTCACTGGGGTTGTAACATCACCATATATTGTCCAAAAAATAATTCTAAGAAGTGTTACAAAAATGTGAAATAATTCAGTACAGCATTCTACCTACTGTGCTCAACTGCTGACTGTGAGAAACTATTTTTAAAATAACAGAGACATCAAAGCAGAAAATAACATGTTGCCTGTGGAAACAGAAAGGACTGGTCGAGATGATAATTTTGAAAACATGTAAAATCCCAAATATTTAATCTCTTTATAAACTTGCATATACACTGCTATGCCATTTCTATTGTCGGTTTTCACACTGAAAACCAGCATAGAAATTTTCATGCTGGTTTGTAAATCATTATCACGAATAAATATCTATATAGATGTTTGTTGCAACCACATATTTTAAACAAACTAAAGAGAAGGAAAGCAGAGGACGAACTTGAGACATTACAAAGAATAAATTTGTGGCATGTGGGCAAAAGCCGATTCTTTCTGCCACAATGGCTTTCTCATCAAACAACAAACAAAACAAAAGAAAACAAAAAACTCCACAAGCTATCAGGTAGCATTTCTGCAAAATTTTATCTCTGGTAAACTAGAAGCAAGAATGTCAAAGTGGAAGGCTCTGTTTCAAGAAGAAACAGGAGTTATGAGCAGCAAAGCCCACTGAAGGTTCTGCCATCAACTGGTTTGTGGCATTAGGTCAACTTCCCAACATAGGTTTCCTCTGTCTACCTAATTTCACAGAAAAATTAAAGGTAACTTAAGCTGGTCAAAGGCTTTAAGCTCTAATTGAACCTATTCTAATCAGATTTAAGCATGGAATTGAACTTCCAGGGCTTCTGACTGTAGCTCAGAGGTAAAGAACTGGAGAGAATTCTGCCCCTCTTTGTCTTTGCTTTAGACTTTCAGTTTTATCTTCTCTGTTCTTCCCTTCGATACAGAGAGATGGTAATAGTGTTCTAACTGCCAATGAACCTGTAATGCTGATTCCTTTCTTTGTTTTTTTTTTTTAAGTTCACTTGCTAAAATAAGGGTAGAGGGAGTAAGAGTGTATCAGGGTCAAGACCCCATTCCTTTGCTTTTAGCCATGCAATTCTGAAGACAGAAACAGACTCACCTTTCACTCCCATCTTCATGGCTCCGGGCCCAACGATATGTCTCAGCATAGCCTGTGTATTCACTGTACTGTTCAGTACCTGAAACAAATGATCTGTCACTATTAACTTCACATTCAGTGGCAAAAACATCCCACCTAACATAACATGGCAAGGATCACTTCTATTTGGCACAATACCAAAGGTCTCCCCAGCCAGTGCGGTAAGGCAAGAAAAGAAACAAAAAGGCATAAAGAATGTAAAAAAAAAAAAAAAAAAAAAAAAAGTCAAACTGTCCCTATTTGTAGATGTCATGATTGTTTACATAAGAAATCCTAAGGAATAATTGAAATAAAGAGACCACGTGCGGTGGCTCACACCTGTAATCCCAGCACTTTGGGAGGCTGAGCAGGTGGATCACATGAGGTCAGAAATTCAAGACTAGCCTGGCCAATATGGTAAAACCCCATCTCTAATAAAAATACAAAAGTTAGCTGGGTGTAGTTGTGTGCGCCTGTAATCCCAGACACTAGTGGGGCAGAGGCAGGAGAACTGCTTGAAGCCAGAAGGCAGAGGTTGCAGTGAGCTGAGATCATGTCACTGCACTCCAGCCTGGGAAGAAGGGGAGGAACAAAGTAAAGAAGAAAAGGAGGGAAGGAAAAAAAGAAGGAAGGGAGGAAGGGAGGGAAGGAGGGAAATTAAAATAAGGAAAAAGTATATGAGTAAACTTAGTAAGATCAAGGGTATCTCTATGAACTAGCAGCAAACCATGGGAAAAGAAACATTTATTAAAAATCCACTACCCATAATGTCAAAAACCATAAAACATCTAGGAGTAAACGTAACAACAAAGAAGACACTACTGGCCAGGCACAGTCGCTCATGCCTGTAATCCTAGCTAGCACTTTGAGAGACCGAGGTGGTGAATCACCTGAGGTCCAGGAGTTCGAGACCAGCATGGCCAACATGGTGAAACTCCCTCTACTAAAAATACAAAAATTAGCCGGGTGTGGTGATGCCTGTCTGTAATCCCGGCTACTCGGGAGGCTGAGATAGGAGAATCGCTTGAACCCAGGAGGCAGAGGTTACAGTGAGCAGAGATCGTGCCACTTCACTCCAGCCTGGACTGGAGTGAAGTGCACTGGAGTGAAAGACTTCATCTTAAAAAAAAAATAAAAAAAAAAAGATGACACTCCTGAGAAAAAGAAAACTTAAGCAAATGGAGAGATATACTATGCTTGAGATAGAAAACTCAATATTGTTACAATGTTAATTTTTGATATAAAGATTCACATTAATCTTAAATAATGCAAGTAGACTTTAAAAAATAATAATTAAGGTGATTTAAAAATTAAAATACATGGAAATACAAAGAACCCAGAATGAACAACAACAACAACAACAAAAATTGAAAAAACAAGAAAATTGGAGCACTCAACAACCTAAGCTGAACACTTACTTAGTCTTGGCTTTCAGAAAGACCAAGAAGTCAATGGAATTAAGTAGACTCCATAAGTACATCCACACTTGTATAGTCAACTGATTTTCAACAAAGATGCTAAAATAATCCACCAGAAAAAAAAAATAGCTTTTCTACCAAATACTGCTGGAATAAGTAGACATTCATTGAAAAACCCATAAACCTTAACTGTGGCTGTACACTAAAAATAAAAATTATTTTCAGACAGACCAGACATAAATATAAGACTATAAGACTTCCAGAAGAAAACATAGGAGAATAGCTTTATAACATTGGGGGTAGGTATAAATTTCTTAGAGAGGATAAAGAAAGCAGTGACCATAAAATTTACAAAACAAAAACTAGAATAAGCAAATTCAAATACTTCTAGTCATTAAAACACCTTCAGGGCTGGGTGTGACAGCAATTTGGGAAGCTGAGATGGGTGGAGGCTGAGGCAGGAGAATCACTTGAACCTCGGAGGTGGAGGTTAAAGTGAGCTGAGACCATGTCACTGCCCTCCAGCCTGGGTGACAGAGCAAGACTACCTCAAAAGAAAAAAAAAGCCCAAAAAGCACCTTCAAGAAAATGCTTAGACAAGACTGGAGAAAAAACATTTGCAAATTAAATATCTGACAAAGGACTTGTGTTCAGAATATGTGACAAACTCCTACATGTCAATAATAAAAACACAACCCAATTTAGAAAAATGGACAAAAGACTGAATATAAACTTCACACAGGAAGATATACAACTGGCTAACAACCACATGAAATATTGCTCAACATTATTAGTAATCAGAGAAATGCAAATTAAAATCACAGTGAGAAACCACTATATACTCAAAAAAGAGGCTAAAATAAAAAGAATGACAACACTAAATGTTGATGAGGATGTAGAACACGTGGGAAATCTCATTATATACTGCTGGTAGAACCTAAATTTGTATGGAAATTTTATTTCCATACAAATATACTGCTGATAGAACATAAATTTGTATTGTAAGGAAAACAGTTTGGCAATTCCTTATAAAATTAAACATACACATAGTCTTTGACCTAGAACTTCCATTCCTAGATATCTATTCAACAGAAATTGAAAATGTGTGCTCACAAAAACTGCATAGAACAATGTTCATAGCAGGTTTATTTACAATAGACTTGTATCAGTCACTATTCAACCAGAGAAATGGAACCAGTAGGACATATATACAAAGAGATTTATTACAAAATATTGGCCTACACAATTGTGGAGCTGACTAGTCAGGTCCAAAGGGTGGACTGGAACTCTCAGGCATGGGGTGAAGCTGCAGTGCACAGAGTAAATTTCCTCTAAAGAGAACCCTCAGTTCTATTCTTTAGGCCTTTCATCAGACTGAATCAGGCCCACCCAGATTACTGCTTATTTAATGCAAATTATATTGAATGTGGCTGGGCACAGCGGCTCAGGCCTGTAATCCCACCAGCACTTTGGGAGGCTAAGGTGGGTGGATCACTTGAGGTCAGTAGTTTGAGACCAGCCTAGCCAACATGGTGAAACCCTGCGCCTACTAAAAATATAAAAATTAGCTGATCATGGTGGCAGGCACCTGTAATCCCAGCTACTTGTGAGGCATTGGCAGGATCATCACTTCAACCCAGGAGGTAGAGGCTGCAGTGAGCCAAGATCACACCACTGTACTTCAGCCTGGGTGACAGAGTAAGACTTTGTCTCAAAGAAAAAAAAGAAAAAAAAATAATAATAAGGCTTACTGAACGTAATTAGATTAACTCCTTTACTTAAAGTTAACTGGTTGTAGACTTCGATCACATCTATAAAATACTTTTACAGCAATACCTAGGTAAGTGTTTGACAGAATAACTGGGGGCTATAGCCCAACTAAGTTGACATTAAAAAAGACTATCACAAAACTAAAAGTAGAAACAATCCAACTATTGATAAAAAATTAACAAAACATGTGCCATGATCATACAAAGTAATATTCCTTACTAATAAAAGGGATAGAATCACCGATATATTAAAAAACAAAGATATATCTCACATTATGCTAAACAAAAGATGCAAGATACAGAAGTATGTATGATATATATTTACATGACATTTCATTATTTAAAAAAGACAAAAGTAATTTATAATGAAAATAATAAAAATTGTGGTTCCTGGGGTTGGGGACTGACCAGAACAGGGCTCAAGGGAATTTTTTGAGGTGATAGACATGTTTTCTTTTATGTCTTGACAGGAGGGTGTGGGATTTAAGAGCACATCTATTTGCCAAAACTCACCGTATTTTCCACTTAACATTGTATACTTCCATGTGTATAAATTTTACTTCAAAAATAAAAAGAACTGTAAACAAATAGTGAACTCCATTTAACAAGTTTACTTTCTGCAGTGGCATGGTTTAGCAGTTCTGAAACTACCTTTTGTATAGACTAGGCTTAAACAAATGAGAAAAGTTGAATATATTGGGAACCACATTCTTCATTGTTGGGGAAGAGAGTTCCAATTATGGAAGGGGGGAAAGACTACAATATAGGCAGTGATGCTGGTTAAGAATGGGAGGCACCAGTATAAATTCACAGGTGTGTGTGTCTGTGTGTGTCTGTGTGTGTGTGTGTAACACATGTGTTCTAGTTCAAATCTTGGCTTCTAAAAACTAACTAAAATCCAGGACTACTTGCAGAAATGGTTGATTCTATAACTGGTGCAGATGAGCCTACAACATCTTTTTGTGCTAAAAAGATGGTGATGCTCAAAGAAGGAGGTGCATTAAAGAATGATGAGCACATGTCAATGGCATACAACAGTTAATTTGAAGGCATTCCCACTGATTGAATATGGGACAATTTAGCATCAAACAGATAATAGCAATGGGTCATAATTCACTGAATATAATAAGAATGCAAGTGACTATACTTATATATATATATTAATAGACACTAATAAATAACTATATACAAATAAGGAAAAAGGGAAAATCCTTCCTTATAGTAGAATGCCAACTATTAAATATATAAAGAATGGGAGTTTTAAAAATTATCAATGACTGCTAAAATTATTAGGTGAAAGTTAGATGAGAACAAGATATTTACAGTTTCCAAATATATAAAATATATAGCAAGAGATTAATTACAGAATGAAAACGAATAACCTGACAGTGGAGGAACCTGGTCGACCCAACTTACCAAGTTATTGTACGTATATCACAAATATTGAAACAAACTGCTATCACATGTCTCCTCAAAAGATGTACTAAGTAGGACACGGTATCATTTCAGTGGTATTCCCACCAAAATGAATAACCGGAACCTGATTAGGAAGAAGCAGTGGGCAAACACAAGAAAGACAATCTACAAAATAACCAGCCTACCCCCTTTAGAAATATCAAGGTGAACAAAGACAAGGAAAGGCTGAGAATGGTTCCAGTTTAAAGAATACCAAGGTACGGGCCTGGACTAACTGAAGACTGGAAAAGAAAGCTACAAAGGTCATAACTGGAATAACTAACAAAATTATATTATAATGTAGATTAGCTAACAGTATTGTATCAAATTAAATTTCCTGATTTTGATAACTAACTGGGCTGTGCTGATGTAAGACAATGTCCTCCTTCTCAGGAAATACACAACAAAGTATTTAGGGG